TATTTTGGCGGCAGGGACACGCTTGTTGGGTCCCGCTCTCCTACAGGTGGTCTCTGCGACGACGGCCGTGTGTTCTCCACTGGTACGAGGTGCGTGGGTGACATGTAAAAGAAAGCTGGCCACGGCCCCCTACACGGTGATGGAGAGCAGATGCGTCGTCGCTGAGCCTCCATCACCTGACGCTGCCATCTTTTCGCCATCGAACACAATGCGCATTCGAAGATGGCAGTGTGACAGTGGCTACACAGTGCCGCACATGGCATCTTTGCGGCCAATCGGCAAAAGTGGTGACACTTTGATCCCAATCGGGAGTTGGGGGTCGTACCTGCATGAACCCGTCAGTGACATACTTTCCTCCTGTCCAGGTCGACCAAGGGCACAATGGCCTCAAGCAAAACTTGCTCACCAATCTCCGTCTCAAGCCTTCTAGGTCCTGCGAGACCCGCCTCGAGGACCCTGCAGTCTCCAGGCGCTGTCATGGCCGAATTACGTTGACCTTATTGCCAGATTGGAAAGCCCGTGTCAGTGCCGTTTCTGCGCGTGTTTCGCGTGCGCCGTTTGCGCGGCAAATGCAAGGCAAGAGTAAATTGGTGGCAGTTACAAGTGGGCATGGGTCGCCGCCCCCCAAAATGAAGTTTTGACCAACGACGTGTACCAAGACCCAAGAACCAGGCTTTGACAAGAAAAACCCACGTCTTCTTGACGACACTCTGACCTGATCATTACCCTCGCACACTCCAGCATTCGCACAGCATACAACCAAGCTTCATTTGTCCCCGCTGCAGTGTCACTTGCGAGGCAGTGCTGCTCTTCCTGCCAATTCTTTCGATTTTCGCCTGCCCCACCGACCACCAACTTTTTCTCGGGGTGGCGAACGCAGCACAGAGTCTCGAAACAAGCTTCTCGCGATAACCTCGCTCACTGAGCAGACTACGCCTGGTTCGGGTGCCATCACGAAGACCGCCCACACTCCGCTGAAAGCCCCATATCAGCTGCACATCATGGACACCGATCCATTGCTACCCCGAAAGAATGCGCCAACGAGAAGGGCCGGTGTGCACGCCGACTCGGCCGCCCAATATGGCACCGTAGCAGGACAGACTACCGACGATAAACGAGTGACCACCTCTTTCCTTCTGGGGAACTTGCACTGCCCGTCATGCGTCTCCTCCATTCAAGAAGCTCTCGGCGACGCATGCGGCCGTGACATTGTCTGGATCTCGCCCAATGTCGTGACATCGGTTGTTACCGTTGAGCACCGCGACACGGGCCCCGCCGTCGCCCATGTCATAGCCACCATGGCCAAGTCGCTCGAAGCCGCCGGCTTCGAGGTCTGCAGTGTAACCACCACATCCGCAGCCGTCGACAGCCTTGATCTTGAGTCCTTGGCGGACCAGTCATATCAAGCTGCCGATGATTCTGCCGAGAGCAAGGGTGCCGGCGCTCTCGGCAGGCTGCTCACTGCCCCTCGGTTCAAACAGTCTCTCACCAAGAGGCAGCAGACTCATCTGGCAAACTGCGAAGAATGCCGCCATTCACGGCCTCACACACCACGCTCAGGATCGCAAACCCCGCTGTTGGCCGGCGCAAGGGCAAGGCTTGAACGGTCAGGCACGTCCGATCTCACGACGCTATCCACTCTCGAGAGTATCACCGCCGTCGGTTCGAGATCATCTGTTGATAGTGCTGGCCACGCCTGGAGGGCCACCTACTCCATCGGAGGCATGACCTGCACGTCTTGCGTCCGCTCCATCGAAGATGAGCTCAAACGAAGACCCAGTGTTGCCAAGGTCGTTGTCAACCTCGTCAACAACAGCGCGACTGTGGACGTCACGGAGAAGGATGAAGCTCAGGTTCTCGTCCAAGTGATTGAGGACATTGGCTATGATGTGTCTCTGGAGGAGGTTGTTCCCATTGACCAGAAGTCAAATGGTACCAAGGAAGGCTCAGACGCTGTGAAGGAGCCATCAGAATGGAGGGCGACTCTGGCCATAGGCGGCATGACATGCGCTTCCTGTTCAAATGCCATTACGACTGAGCTGAACAAGCTAGACTGGATCTCCAATGTTGCAGTAAACCTTGTCTCGAACAGCGCCACTGTCGACTTCACAGTTGCCGGCAAGGAAAACGACATCGCCGAGGCCATTGAGGACATGGGCTATGAAGCCAGCGTGAACAGCGTCGTCGCATACGAGGCTGAGCCTGAACACGAAGGCGCTCAGGAAAGGAGGGTGCAAATCTTAGTCGAAGGCGCCTACTGCAAGCACTGCCCGGATCGACTGGTACATTCACTTGCCGCGTTCAAGCCGAACCTCGAGATCCTTTCAGCCCCGACCGTCGAAAACCCAAAAATGCAGATATCCTACGTGCCCAACACCCCCTACCTCACGATCCGACGCATCTTGGCGGCTATCGAGGCTGCAGACCCCTCATTCCATCCGTCGATATATCATCCGCCCACCATCGAAGAGCGATCGAAGGCTGTGGTGGCCCGTCATCAGCGCCAATTGCTCCGCCGAGTGTACTTGAGCCTGGTTATCGCAATCCCCACCTTCATCATTGGCATTGCCTACATGAACCTTGTTTCGGATGATGATCCTTGGAGGCACCATCTCATGAAACCGTGGGTCTCTGGTATCAACCGGGCGCAGATTGCCTTGTTCATCTTGGCGACACCAGTCTACTTCTTCGCAACCGATGTATTCCACGTCCGCGCTATCAAAGAATTGAAGAATCTGTGGAGGCGCGGAAGTAGGACGCCTATTCTCCGCCGTTTTTACAAATTCGGTAGCATGAACTTGCTAATCTCGCTCGGCACCACGATTGCCTACGTCTCCTCCATCTGCCAGATGATCGCCGCAGGCATTGAGAAACCGGAATTCGTCGAGGATACGCATTTTTACTTTGATTCTGTTGTGTTCCTCACTCTCTTCCTCCTGCTTGGTCGTTTGATCGAGGCATACAGCAAGGCCAAAACCGGCGACGCTGTTGAGATGCTTGGCAAGCTGCGCCCCAGCACCGCCATCCTCGTTGAGAAGGATAGTCTTGGCAACACTATTGATTCGACCGTCAAGGTTGACCTGATTGAATTCGGAGACATCGTGCGTGTTCAGCATGGTGCATCGCCCGTTGCAGATGGTGTCATTGTACAGGGCGAGAGCAGCTTCGATGAGTCTAGTCTGACGGGCGAATCGCGGCTGATCAGGAAGAAGGTCGGCGACGATCTTTTTGCGGGTACTGTCAACAAGGATGCAGCTGTCCTCATGCGCGTCACTGGAGCTGCCGGGCGGTCGATGCTGGATCAAATCGTCCAAATCGTCCGTGAGGGGCAGACGAAGCGCGCTCCGATGGAGCGCGTTGCCGACATGCTCACTGCCTACTTTGTGCCCATCATCACGCTGATCGCTATCCTGACCTGGGCGACTTGGACGATTCTCGGACTCGCCGGCGTGCTTCCAGAGTCTTACCTCGATGCGACGAGCGGCTGGGTTGCATTCGCCCTCCAGTTCGCCATTGCCGTCTTCGTTGTCGCGTGCCCCTGCGGCCTTGGTCTCGCGGCCCCTACGGCCATCTTCGTTGGAGGGGGTCTAGCGGCGAAGCATGGCATCCTAGCGAAAGGTGGCGGCGAGGCGTTTGAGAAGGCCAGCAAGATTGACCTGGTGGTGTTTGACAAGACTGGCACGTTGACGGTCGGTGGCGAGCCCAAGATTACAGACGCCTTGACATATCCCGGCGCAACGCAAGAGGCTGCGGGCCAGGAGGATACAGATCTTCTCTTTGCGGCGCTCAAGGCTGTCGAGGAGAACAGCAGTCACCCGATTGCCAAGGCCATCGTGTCTTACTGCAAGTCTCGGACGGAGCAGTCAGCCAGTGTTGACAACCTCCAGGAGATTCCTGGTAGAGGTATGAAGGCCATCTGTCGCGGACAGTCGTTCGATGCCTCGTTTATTATTGTTGTTGGCAACGAGAGCTTGATGTCGGACAACCACGTGGCCATGTCCGAGTCTACAGCTGCACAGCTCGAGACCTGGAAGAGGGAAGCGAAATCTGTTGCCCTTGTTGCTACGAAGCCGATCTCCAAAGATGCGGCACCCTGGACTCTTGCGGCTGCTCTGTCCATCGCAGATCCGATTCGACCAGAGGCTGTCGGCATTGTCGAGGCCCTGCGAGAACGAGGCACGAGCGTGTGGATGCTGTCTGGCGACAACCTGGTGACCGCTAAAGCCGTTGCATCACAAGTCGGCATCGACCCCAACAACGTTCTTGCTGAGGTTCTTCCTTCGCAGAAAGCCGAGAAAATCACTTACCTCCAATCGACCATGAAGGCCCGTACCGGCAGCCGTGAGCACATGATGAAACGGGCAACGGTCGCGATGGTCGGTGACGGTATCAACGATTCTCCCGCACTGACGCGCGCCGACGTCGGCATCGCCATCGGTAGCGGCAGTGATGTCGCCATTTCGAGTGCCGATTTTGTGCTCGTGTCGAGCGACCTCCGGGCAGTGGTGACACTACTCGAGCTGAGCCGCACGGTATTCCGCCGCATTAGGCTCAACTTTGCCTGGGCGATTGTGTACAATGTGCTCGCGCTGCCTGTGGCGGCCGGGTGCTTCTACCCGTTTACGACGAGCTCCGGACAGCATATTCGGCTGGACCCTGTATGGGCCGCGTTGGCGATGGCGTTGAGCAGTATCAGTGTGGTGCTGAGCTCGTTGGCATTGAGGATCAGGATTCCGTGGATCGGGTTCCAGGATGGGAAGATTGGAAGCTAAGACGTTACTTCTGGAACATAATTGACGAGCGCAAGTAGAATGTGTAACGTGGGCGGGCAAGGGACATTTAGAATAGCGAACGTGAGCAAATCTGACAGCAATGGAATCTAGGTAGAGAGTCAATTTCTATGCCCAATCCAAGCGAGTGGCCACTCGGGTGATTCTTTACAAAATTTGCATGGTATACATTATGGTTTACAACTTATCGTACGGCCAACTGCCTCGGCATTACTTCTTTCGGTACATCTTCTCCAAGTCCTCGAAAGAAATCGTCTCGCCTCCCCAGGCCTCGGGATCTCTGGTCTCGGACCGCTTCTCGGCCGGCACGTCCTCGAGACTATGCGCGTTCTGCTTGACCGCTTGCTTTCTTCCGTTCGGCGCCAGCAGCTCCCCGACGCCGGCCATCTCCATGATGGCTTCACGCGCGCCCGCCATGCCGCGATGGCAGCCCATGGGCTCGGATTTCCACTCGGCCTCCCGCCTCTCCATGGCGGCGGCCGTGAGATAGACGCGCGGCACGAGCGTCCCCTTCTCGCCGCGGCACGCCCGCCTCACAGCGCGCACCGTGGCGGCCGCCCGCCCGCGCAGCCAGCCGTGCAGGTCGCCGTCGGCCTCGGGCCCGCGGTACCCGCGCACGAGCTTGTCCGTCTTGGTCAGCACGACGAGCACCTGCCGCCCGAGCGACGCCACCATGCGCAGCACCTCGGCGTCCCGCGGCGCGAGCCCCTCCTTGTCGGCCGGCAGCAGCACGACGACGCCCCGCAGCAGCGTCCGCCGCGCGAGGTAGCCCAGTATGCCGTCGCCCCAGGCCGTGCGCGACCCGAAGCCGTAGCCCGGCGTGTCGACGAGCGCGAGGGCGTGGCGCGGCGGGCGCTCGCCGGGGCCGAGGCGCGCGCGCACCCGCGCCTGGGCCTGCGGGGTCGGCGGCGGGCCGAGGCCGTACGTGTTCATCGTCGTCGTGTGGCCGGCGCGCGCCGACGTGCGCGCGAGGTGCGCGCGGTGCGCGAGCGCGTTGAGAAAGGTCGACTTGCCGCAGTTCGAGGCGCCGATGATGGCGATCTCCGGCAGCGCCGAGTTGGCCCGCGTGTTGCGCAGGTGCGACGAGGCGTGCAGGAACGTCGGCGTCTGGGTCGTCAGGAGCTTGGAGGCGAGGGCGTGGCTGGACGTCGGCGCCGGCTCAAAGGTGAGCGTGCCGGGGGCCGGGGGCGCTTTCGGTTTGGTGGGCGTCTTGGAGAAGTAGGACTCTGGGGGGCCGCTGGATTCGTCGACTGCTATGGTCGATGCGTCCGGGGGGAGTTCGAGGTGGATGGAGTGAGCGCGCCAGATGTCGTGGGGTTGCGTGAGTTGAGGGGGGATTCTGCGTGGTCTTGGCTGCTTCGGTGGTGTGCTGGCGGTGTCTGCTCTGGGGGCCTCTTCTGGCTCGACACGGCTCGGGACGTGCTGTGCTGGCTGGACATAGTCGTGGCGCACCAAGGTTGAGGTTCGAGATCCTGGCCTCAAGCGAGGATATCGAAACGCAGATGGCGTGAATGAGCGGCGGGTTTCTGACGAAAGGGGGTGCCCTCTCAGGCCACGGCCTGCCGCGCTGAGTCGCTGTGGAGTGATGATTCGTCGGCCGAACATGATTTCAAATGATGACCCGACACCTAAAAATCCATCTCGTGGGCTCTCTGGCGAACTTGAAGTCAAGTTGTCAAAGTGTAGAGTGAAGGTGAAGGCTCAGATGAGTCGCGAAGCGAGGCAGAAGGTTCTGCGAAAATGCATTTTATGCAGATAATGGATAGGCTTGACGTATTACTGCATACTTATCACTGATGAATATCTTCACCCAAAGATCACGATGGTGAACGGCGTGAACTCAGCCCCTGGCGACGCTTGTGATTTGACATGAAATAATTGGGTATTCTATGCGTACATGTCATGATGCATTCTGCTTCCTGAAGCATTCGCCGTCATGCGGAGCACTTCTCCTGGCCATTGCACCACATTCGCCGTCATGAGTACGGTACACATACAAATGCCCGCCTGTGGTAGCCCATTACCAGGCCGTACCCTTATTCCTTGGTGGCCTCCACAGGAACCGTCCCTGTCAGCGCTGACGCAGTCGAATGTCCCGTGCCGGGCCGACTCTGAGACTTCCGAGATTTCTTCCCAGCTTTGGTCTCAAACAAGCTCTTGACTCTCCTCAGACGAGCCCACCTCTCCTTGTCCTTCTTGTCGCGGACCTTCTCCTCATCCTCGTCGTCGCCGTCCTGCGCCGCCAGAGACGGTGTATCGAACGAGACGCCGCCCCGATCGCCAATCGTCGTCGCGGCTATGCTCGGCCGTCGAGGAGTAGAGGGCGGACCGTTGCCGTCCTTGTCCGTGTTGTGCTTGGCAGTGCTAGGTCGCGCTCGGCTTTTTGGCCTGTCATCCAAAGCGGCCCGCAGGTATGCGTCGTTCTTGATGACCTGCGTCAAGATCGTCCACGCAGGCAGGTCCTTCTCCGAGGACGGTTTGGTGCTGTTCCACCGCTGGGTCTGGGGGTTCTTCCACGGGCAGAAGAAGCGGTGCTCCCTGGCCGGGTCGAGGTGATCCATCGGCGCGGGGACGAGCACTTCGTTGTTGGGCCCGACCTCCTTGCTCTTGAACATCCACAGGCCGAGTCGGCGCAGGCACGTGTGGCAGGACGCCGAGTTGGGCACGGCGCCGATCCTAGCATTCGAAAGACCCTGCCAACCCATGACGGCGAGAGCGAGGGCGACGCGGTTCGGATGGTCCATGTCTGGTCGGGGAGCAGGGTTTTTGAAAAAGTCATCGGGTAGTTGTGAAAGGACGGCGTCCATGTCGAGGCCTTCGGGGAGTCGCAGGTTGAATTCATAGGGAAGGAACGGCTTCCGGGCGCAGAGCTCGTCGTACCGCTGCCGTAGAGCTTCGTGGCTCACTTTGGCATTCGTCAATGACAGCCGCAGTAATGAATCTACGCAAAGAGGAGTCAGCCGAGAAGCAATGGACAATAAATATCGGACAACAGCATACCGTCACAGCCTTGCCTCCGCCACAGGCAGTCCTCCTGATGGGCGGTCACGACAAGCTCGGCATACTTCTCCTGCAGCGCCTCCTCGACATCCGACGATACGAGCGCGGGCACGTCCTGGCCATCGACCTCCTTCTTCGTGAGCTTGACGAGGAGCTCCTTGCTGCAGAGCGTGCAGCGCACGCGCTCCTTGCCCTGGCACACCCACCCCCTCTTGGCCCACTCGATCTCGTTGACCAGGTCGGGCTTGGGCGTCCAGTCGGTGATCTCCTGGAAGGTGGCGAGCCTCTTCAGCAGCTCGGCGCGGTCGTTGGGTGCGTACTTGGAGGCCGGCTTGGCCGCGTCGGCAGGTTCTCTGGTCGAGTTCCACTTCTTCAGCACAATGTTCGAGACCTTGGTCGTGCCGCCGAGGGACTTGATGGTGTTCGCTGCGGCGGCACGCTTGTCGGTCAGCGCCTGTAGACGCCGTCGCTTCTGCAGCAGGTCTTCTTCGACGGCCATGGTCGCTGGTGAGGTGTGGAGGGAGGCGAGAGAGGCAGGTCGAGGGGAGGCGGAAGGTGCTGCATCGCTGGTGGTGCCCGTGTCGTTGGCAGGTGTCGACGACCGGCTGCCGATGCCCTGAATCAGCGAGTTGAACTTTCTTTTGGTTGCGTTCATCGTAGGTGGCTGGTGCCCGTTCGTGTCGGCACGACGGCTGGGAAATGATGGCGACCAGGATGCGGATCAGGTGAAAGGAAAGCTGGTGATGTATTGGGGATGGATTGAACTAAAAGCTATGGTGGGACCTTTGTTTACTTGGACTTGTGCATGGGCGCGCACACACATGGATACGATGCACGGGCCTCGATACATGAGATCTGACTGCCAGTGACAATCAATTCTCTCTAAGGTACAGCAGTTATTACTTTACCTACCCATGATCCGTGAAAGTAACGGTGTCATCACAATCCAGGACAAAGTGCATCCCTATCGGCTTTGTGACATATTGGTTTCCAGCCCTCGGCGGGTACTGCTGCGCTACTTCATGTCGGCCACTCCATGCAAGGAGGCTTCTCTGACAGCCTCAACCTGGGTCGACGCCTCCATCGCCTTTGTTGCGCAGGGCTGTTCATCCACTATGCCGATTGGGGTTGACGCAATGCTGAGGGTGGAACACTTTGGCGGCGAAGTCTGGGCTGGAGCTGATGATACCGGTAGTGGTTGACTGTATGCACGCATGGAACTTCGCGGTGCAGATCTGGACCCGAGGTCTATAGTGATGGTGCAACAGAGTGCTTCTTCTGACGAGGCCATGTTGAGCTCGTAGTAGTAGTTCTGAACTCGTCTTGGGGAGAAAGACGTATGCGATTGTCCTCCTTGGAGAGCGGTGCTCACTTCACAGGATCTGGAATAAGCCGGCTATGGATGTGCTTGCAATTCTACTAGAACAATTGCCTTATCACTGTCTTAGCGACGCTGTAGGAGATACTATAGCAATAGCCTTTGAGTTGGGAAAGACGATCAAGCCTTGGAGCAGGTGTGAACTCAGCGACCTCTCTAACCTACACAGGTAGGTAGGTACCTTAGGTAGGGTGCCTGTAGAGAGAGGCTTTGCGGACCCTGATAAGATAAGGCCCTTGGCGGGGCCGGGGTCTGTCTCGAAAAAAAAAATTGGTCAATTCAGGCTGGCGTCTTCGAATTGGGCGACGACCTGATCAGTGCTCCCAGTAGGGAAAAAAAAAACTCCCTGTCGAGGATCGCAACTCTTACTCTTGCTCAAATCCACCACACCAACCCCAGGTTGATCCAAGTGCCTGGCCACCCACCACACTCAACTACCACAACACATGTCGAGCAAGCCACCCGCTTGGCTCTTTTCAAACAACTCGGTCAAAACCACCACTGCGCCCCAGAGCGAGCAGCCCACCGTCACCATGGCCAAGACTGATAAGAAGGACAAGAAGGGCAAGAAGGCCGCCGCGCCTGCCGCTCCGCCCGCCGAGCTCATGGATCTTGTCGAGAACTTTCTCTCCGAGCACGCGCCGTCCGCCCACGTGGCCTTCAAGAAGCAGCACGGCAAGAAGTCGTCCAAGTCCAAGGATGCCACCAAGAAGCACCGCCACAACCTCGTCAGCGTCTTCCAGACCTGGGAGACGTCGCTGAGCACCCCCGAGGGCGAGCCTGTCACCATCACTGAGACGGTCGTTCAGAACGTCAGCTCCAGCTCCAGCGAGAGCAGCAGCGATTCGAGCTCCGAGGAGGATGTCGACATGGCTGACGCTGCCGCCGCCGAGTCGAGCTCTGACTCCAGCTCCGACTCCGACTCGAGCAGCTCCGACAGCGACAGCGACAGCGACGACGAGCCCGCTCCCAAGATTGCTGTTCCCGTCGTCAACCTGAAGCGCAAGGCTCCTGCTTCAGACAGCAGTGACTCGTCTGACTCGGACTCTTCCGATTCCGACTCCGAGTCCGACAAGAAGCGTCCAACGGCGAAGAAGCTGAAGACGGCCAAGGCTGCCAGCTCTTCGGAGTCCTCGGACTCGAGCTCCAGCTCTGAGTCGGACAGCTCCTCTGATTCCGACAGCGAGGACAAGGGCAAGGCTGCCAAGGCTAAGGCTAAGGCCAAGAAGGGCAAGAAGACCACAAAGAAGGCTGAGAGTAGCGACGAGAGCAGCAGCAGCAGCAGCAGCGAGAGCAGCGATAGCGACTCCTCCTCCTCCTCTTCGGACTCAGACTCGGACTCCGACTCGGACAGCAGCGATTCCAGCTCCGATGACGGTTCCGCCGCTGCCAAGGTGCCCCTGCCCGAGTCCGGCTCTGACTCGTCATCCTCCTCCTCCTCTTCCGACTCCGACTCGTCCGACGACGAGGCCGCCACCAAGAAGGAAAAGACCAAGGCGAAGAAGGCCGCCGTCGAGGACGCCCCTTCTGACTCGTCTGTCACCCTCGACAACAAGACCTCGCCCGACTTCCAGGCCCCGCCCCTGCCCCCCGACCCAAGCACCCTCAACAACCGCGGCCGCGGCAACATGAACAACCAAAAGGGCAACAACGTCCCCTTCTCTCGCATCAAGGAGTCGACCTACGTCGATCCCCGCTTCGCCTCCAACGACTACGTCCCCAACGACTACAGCGACCGCGCGCACGCCGACCTCATCGTGACCAAGGGCAAGGGCTTCACCAAGGAGAAGAACAAGAAGAAGAAGGGCAGCTACCGCGGCGGCATGATTGACATTGGCGGCCGCGGCGGCGTCAAGTTTGACGACTAAGAAAGGTGCTCGTCACTTATTTGCCATTTCCTTTTTTCCACTTTGGGGTTCCGGGGCTGTCAGCACCAGGCGTTGGGGGGATCTCACACATGGTAGTAACGGGGATGTTATCGGGTGCAAAAAGGAAGAAGATAGAGCAGAGGACGGCTAATATTTCAGAGCTGTTGGGTAGATATTGATTACATATGATACCTTGCACCCGGCTTTTGATGTCATTGTTCTCCTCGATCAGTTTGTTGACCGTGTGTTCGGCACTGATCCTGCTCTCACCCTCATAACTAACCCAACGTCAAGGTCAACATCTGGCGCGATCGAACAATTCTCTCTTCTTAAGCCCGGGCCTTGATCAGGTCCGCGGCCTGCAGTCTCGTCAGTAAACAGGCATTTCTCACGGAGACTACGAAACCAGACAGGAAGCAGTATTCCTCACCTTCTCCGCAATCGCATACACAGGCTGCTGCGTATACGCCCCCGGCAGATCAGGCTGCACGCTCGCATCGATCACGCTCAGCTTCTCGACGCCGTACACCAGGAGCTTCTCGTTGACGACGCCGCCCAGCTCCCGCGGCAACATGGCCGCCGTCCCGACGGGGTGGAAGCACGTCGGGCTGATGAGCCCTCGCAGCGCCTCCCGCAACGCCTCGTCGGACGTGACGTTGGCGCCAGGCGATACCTCGACCGGTCCGAACTCGGCGAGGCTCGTCTCGAGGAAGTAGCGTCGCGAAAACTTGACAAACTCTACCTGGATGTCGAGGTCGGTGGGGTTCGAGAGGGCGCGGTAGTCGACCCGCGGCTGCGCGAAGAAGGGGTCTGCCGTGTTGATGTGGACGGTGCCGCGCGAGAGGGGGTGAAGGAAGACGATGGAGGAGCCCTCTGTGTTGGTGCCGCGGAGGAAGAGGTTGTAGAAGGCTGCGTCTTTCGCGCGGAGGGCCGCGGCGAAACGGGTCTTTTGCGCGGCGTAGCCAGCGACGAGAGTCGGGTCGGAGTTGGCAGGTAGATATGCCGCAGGGTCCTGGGTTTCGTAGGCTGAGGCAATGGCTTCAAAAGTGGAGGGGGCGATCACGGAAAAGGGGAGGAAAGAGGCTGCGTTGCCTGATGCGATGGTCAGGGGGCCTAGTGATGTTAATCAGTACTGGTCTATTGTAGCCGGAGTAGAAGTTTGGATGATCTCACCAGTACGGCTCTCTGCGAATTCGGCTTCTGCTTCAGCACGGAAGGTCTCGTTTGTCTGGAGGTCACTAGAATCCGGATGGAAATCCCAGTTCGTAACTCGTGACTGTCAGGCAGATGTCTCGGGCGTCATACTAGACCAGTGTTTACTCACAAGTGAATGATGCGCCGCCACCCAGGGGGTGGTCCTGGAAGTTGGCACCAACCCCTTGAAATATCGTCAGTCACGACGTTCGACTCCTTCAACTCTTCACGGGATGACTTACCCGGCAGGTCAGCGACGACGTCAATTCCCGCTTCTTCCAAGAGGGTACGGCCTCCTATGCCACTCGCCTCCAGGATCTGCGGGGTATGAATCGTGCCAGCAGCGACGATAACCTCCTTTCGAGCACTCACAACGCGTGCTCCCGAGGCATTGATAGCACCAGCAGCGACGTACTCGACACCTACGGCCATTTTGTCTTCAAAAAGCACGCGCAAAACTCTCTGCCCGAGCACAGTCTCATAATTGTCTCGTACCGTCGCCTTACCCGTCCAGTGCTCGCTCAATGCGAACGATCTCGTCACCTGCTCAGGGTTTGCCGAGTGAGGGTACCAGAACGCACCCGGCTCGCCGGCGCCAGAGTCAACAGGGAACGCGACCCCCTCGATCTCTTCGTAGGCATCCATCTGATTTTCTGCGAGAAGCATCAGCACATGCGGGTTTGCAGTTCAGGAAGATACTCACTCAAGAAAGGCCAATTGAAGGACGGAAACATGGCATGGATCCCACCATCAGTTCCCCAATAGCTTTCGTCATATTTGATGTCAAACTCCTCAACCATCTCTTCGGACGGCGGGTGAAGCTGCCAAGCCTGCTCTTATTAGCAACCACACTTGCCGGCCCCAGCTCCGACACTGGCTTACCTTTTTGAAATACGGTAGGAGGCTCTCCCAGTTCCAGTCCGAACATGTGCCAAAGTAAGATCCCCATCGGTTGATGTCTGCCTTCTGCGGTCGGTGGACCTGGAAACCGTTGACACCGGACGAGCCGCCGAGGAGAACACCGCCGACAACGCCGACGGTGCGGCCGCCAAGATTGACTTGTGGCTCAGAGGGAAAGTTGAAAGTAAGAGAAGCGTTGAAGAACGCTTGGGCGCCGCCGGACACGTTATTGACCGAGCTGCCATTTGCTAGAAAAGACCATACGGTTAGGTGATGCGGGAGTGAGAACTTCGGCACAACGCACCGATGACACCGAGCTCGATGACCAACACGGTATCTAGACAAAATCGACGTCAGTCATGATGTCTACTTTTCCCTCTCGAGATTTCCAGAACATACATTCCCCGCTCTCGGTCAACCGATCAGCGACAGTCAGTCCGGAGGTGCCTCCGCCGACAATGATGTAGTCATACTCGTCCTGCACGTCTCGGGCCTGGTGAAGGATCTTGGAATGTTCAACAGACACCGGGATGCTCATAGCAAGAGCGCCGATGGCGCCACATGCCACTGTGGCAATAACCAGCGGCAAAGACGTGGGTTTCGTCATGTTTCTTAATGTCGTGCGTTACAAGTTAGCGACAGTGTGTACACGGGCCCAGCAGGACTTGGAGACGCGGCCCCTGGAACAGACATCTTCTTATACACTACATCACGTCGGAACAGCTGGAGAAAGTCAAGCGGGGACGACCAGGTACCAAATCATCACACTGGCGGGCGGGCGAATATAGCCAGCTTGGCATTGCAGGCATCGTAGTTAGGAATGTCGCAGCGAGCCGTATTTCCAATCCATCGCTACAACCCCCCGATGGTAGGTCATCGGTTGAACGTCAGCATCGGCGGGATAACTAATAGGTCCCATATTTAGCCGAGGAAGTAGACAATGAATGTAGCTCTTGTGAGCGGCATTGATTGCCAGGTTTGCTGCAGAAGTGACCACGGTTGTTTCTCGGTAAAGTCGAGTTGATGGCTCTTTCTGTGTACACAACCGTTATCGAAGGTTGGCCGAGGTCTGCGGCTACAAGAATACCATTCTGTCGCTAGGATTCTGCCATACGTCGCCTGACATGGCGTGCGAAGCAAGGTTGCATCGTAATATAAGCAGCTGTTTTCCCCTCACGCACCCCTGGTTCCCCGCGATGATCGTCTCGGGTGTTCGTACGAGCTGCGTCCGCGTCATGGTCACAAGTCTGCTACATTTTTCTGCCGCTAGTCCGCACGATTCCATGCTTGCTGGTAGAGAAGTGGGCTATCTGTGTCGTCTTTTCCACACTCAAGAGCCGTCTTAGTTATGAGCGATGCCATACCTGGGCACAGCCATCCTTGCCAGATTCAGATGACCTGGAAAGGGAAAGCCTCCGCCATCGAGCAACAGTGATGCCTAGCGTGCACATGTCAGATAGGAACCAAGGGACTTTTGTAATCTTAGAGTGAGGCCGCCCGAAGGTTTTGTCCTTTGATCATGGGATTTTGCTGGGCCAGGAAAGCAGGCATGTGTATTCCTCACAAGAAGACGAGGGCTTACAGAGCAAGACCAGTCAGAGTCCAGGCCTGTTTGCCTGTTTTGTGTGGAAAGTGGAATAGCTCGACACATACAAGACTGCGCCGCATTAGGTAGGTCGTCAATGCCACGAGGCTTGCGGCCAGGACGACAATGTGAACCTGCAGACGACTTAGGAGCATTTTGTTCCCACGACTTTGAACGAGGAACTTTTGACGTGCAGGGCAGAAGATCGCCCAAAGCAGGGTTCCAGGGCGTGTTGGTATTTGTCAGTACCCAGAAGTATCGAGCTTGAACGTGTCCCAATGGAGGGATCTTGTCTGCCGTCGGCAACGCGATACACCCTCAGAAAGCACGGCCACGTTCCTGCGGCGCAAAATCGATGGCCCTGAATAGTGAAATACTCCTCTGCGTTCGCAAGCGTTGGCTGGACCTCGGATTGGTGTGGGGAAGATCCCGAGGAACTGTCCACCATGGCTGAGCCTGTGATGTCAACATTCGCCCGACGTGTTGGTGAAGGACCTCGACAGATCACTAGATCTTGTCGCTAATCACGCTCCGAACCTGGATACCGCGAGGCCTGCGGGCGCATGGGCAGCAGAGATGCCAATGCGTGATCACAATGTTGATTCTGCAACGAGATGCCATCGGAGACAACCTGACAGTGTGGTCACTTGACAACGTCTAGGTCAGGAAAAGAGACGTCAATGTTTAGCTTTCCTTGACTTCGGTCAGCGCAGAAGATACCGTTAGTTGACGAAGAACGCCTATGTGGAGAGCCTGTGGCATCTCGCGAGAGAGTGGGGGAAGGACATCGATGAGAGTCGGCAGATACTGATAATTCAACAATGCCGCGCGCGTAGTTGAAGCTGACGGCGCGACTTCATGTTCTGACATGGTATGTTGCGTTGCTCATAACCGAGCTGCACCATGCTGCAAGGCAGAGGGCGGCGCAGTCGATGCAGGGCCCACCAGGTCGCCGTGGGGGCGACTTCTTGTGCTGAGGCGGTGCAGAAGTTGAAGAACAACGCTGCCAGATGGGATAGGCTGCGACAAGGGTACCGGGGTAAAGGTTCACAAAGACATAGGAGAGCTAGAAGAAGCCAACATTGAATGCAGGTGAACATGTCAATGCTGGAACAATTTTCGATATGTTGAGGCACATGAGCAAGTCTTAAGGATGGGCCCGAGTGCAACTTGACACATACAGATGCAGCGCGGTGGAGGTGATCTGGATGAGCTGGCCGGACATTTGAGACGCGCAGCCATGATTGCACTTTTGGGCGCATTTCGGGCAGCAGACGTCCATCGTTGAATGGGCGGTGAAATACCCATGGTAGTCGTCCACGACACTCGAATGAACCACCCCCCTGTTGAAGCTCCTATTGTAGGATACACATGACCAGCTCTCACTAGATAAGGGTCAGTATCAGGGCAAAGGATGGTCTATCTTTCTTCGGAAGTCATTTCAGGCTCGTCTTGCCGATGCTAGATGTACCATTTTGCGACGCTCAAGCTGCCAGGTCCACAGAAGTCCTTCTGCTGTACTTGCGCGACGGGTCGAGCTAACTTACCGAAGTCGTCAAGATGAATTCCATCTTCCAGCAGACTCTTGTGCGGGTTAGATGACATAGCCAAGTCGCCCTGTTTCCATTGAAGCGTATAGCGGCAACATCCTTGCCAAGGGCGTCGCAGAAGCTTATGCTACGTGGTTGTGCTTTGGAGTTTGAGGGGCGAAGGTTGTCCAGTGCGCTCAAAATGTTGATGTCTGTCAAGTCCAAGCTATCTTGCTGAAGAAAGGCGTCGAGAAGAGCCAGAGGTCGAGGTCAAGCCGCTATCGACTTCCTCAAGACATGAAAATACGCCGTCGTATTGATGCTCCAAGGCCTGGAGCAGCAAAATGCATAGTCTGGGCGTCTATGGTGATGATATCGATGGCCTCGTCGACTCAGATGACGGATACAAGGTCGGGGACGGTGCTGAGAACTCCATCGATACACAAGTGGCCGCGACCATCTCGTCCACCTCGGAGAAATCATGGTCGATCGGTACCGCATCGTGTTGCTGCCCGACAGTCTGTTGACATCGCAGGAGGGACGGCCACCCTTTGGTCACGCCCGTTCGAGCCTGAGCTTGGGCTAACGCAGCAGCAGGCAGGGCTTCCACCCAGCGCCGGTTCACGATGATTCATGCGCCAAAGGTGGAGGGTGAGTTGGACCATGTCATGCGATAGAAGCGACGGATGTATTCGCTCGAGTGGCACAGAGGGGTTGAAACAGAGGGCCACATGGCCAACTGGTGAAGGACGGCCAACGTAGGCAAGATCTCACGAGGCCTCAGTCTTCGAGTGTAACCGTTTGGGAGGTGGTGGGGCAGGTAGGTCAGGTACAGTAAGATACTTACGAATTACCTATGAGTGGTATGCATCTACCAGCCTTATGTCTGGAAGTGGCACAGGATCCCCATCGGACCCCTGCGTGTCGTGCTGTGGTTGTCAGGGTAGCCGTGGTGGCCAGGTTGCCAAGATGTACTCAAAGGTACCCTGCCAGGTACCTGGGTAAGGAAGCCAGCCAACCCCCAACCCGCTCAGCCGCTGCCAGAGCGCGCCAAATGACTTGGCCTGCCCAGATGGCGTAGGTAGAGCTGGGTACCTATCCTTCTGCTTAGCCCAAAGCCTTCTGCTTAGCCCAAAGCCTTCTGCTTAGCCCAAAGTCATGAGGCTGGCTGGTCAAGCAACACCGCTCTGAACCGGGCGAGCTTGGGTATACATTCTGTTGACTGTGCCACCCGCGTACAGGAGGTACCATCACTACCTGGTCTTGCCTACTTAGGTACCGCGGTCGAACTGGTCAGCCTGCTCACAGCAGCGGGAACCGGCACGCGCTCTCGCTCACCTCATCCTCACCTTCATTTCACCCCACCTTGCGATCGTGCGTCGCGACGACCTGACCGACCTGAACTGGGACCTCTGTCATCTGGCCCGTCAATGCTCGTACCTGCTTGTACAGCTTCTGCATCGACCCATGGCCCTGTGGCAGTTCATCACCCACTCTTCATGTGTGCCCGCCTTGACCCGACCCCAGTTCTCAATCCATTGAGATTGCTCTCCTCTCTTCGGCAGACTGCTTCACTTGCTGTGGAAGGCGCATCTACAAGCCACCCCTCCAAGGCAGCAGCCGCGCCATTCGACACCACCCTACAAAGGCATTGGAGACCGCAAACATCGCGAGCATAGCCTCGATCGTGTCTATATCAATACATAACCGCAGTTGCCCCTCATCCAACTGGCCCCGGCCCACGCCCTTTGTTCAACGCCCTCTCACACAGGAAAGCGGCCGCGTGTTTGTCATATGCTCAAGCGGAGACTGATGGGCATCTTCTGCTCCAACCCCAACAAAGAAGACAACCTTCCGCTGGGCGACTGTGGAAATGAAAACCATAACAGGCGGAATCCCTCCAGGCTCGTCAAGAAGCCTAGCACCAGCTCCCACCAGTATTACACACGCGCCTCTATGTCCATCGACGGCCGCGACATGGAAGCCGACTCCGTCATGGTCGACGCGCAGGAGGCCGTCATCAACAAGCGCCTCTACAACGCCGAGCACAAGGGCTCTGCGTTCCAGACAAAGACCGTCCTCGACAGGCGCACGCGCCATGGCCGGAGGAGTACGAGTTTTGCCGATGTTGACGACTACGAGGCGCAGAGAACACAGTTGCAGACGCGCGAAAAGGCCTTGGCTTATGACTTTCGCCTCGAATCGCAGGCGAAAGAAGGAGGGAAGGAAATGACCGTCAACAGAATCATCCAGGTGCTCAAGGTCAAGGATCGCGAGCTCTTTGAACAGAAGCCGCCGCGACACGGCTACGGGGACCAGGAGCATGCCCGATTTCCGGGCGATCACTTCTTGTCCAATGTCGACATCATCAACCAGACGCACCTGCTCAAGGTTGCGCAGTGGATGCCCAAGGGTGCCCACCTGCACATTCACTTCAACTCGTGCTTGCTCCCCGGCGTTCTCCTGAGCATTGCAAAGACGATGGACCGCATGTTCATCAGGAGCAGTGTGCCCCTCGTGAGGGCAAATGACCCCCATGCGTTCGAGCGATGTGAGATCCAATTCTCGATTCGGGGACAAGATATGAACACCCCCGGCGATATCTTTTCCTCCGACTACGAACCAACGCAGGAGATGCATTTCACGGAATTCCTCAACATCTTTCCCAAGCACGCTGGTTTCGACCCCATGCCTTGGCTGGAAGAGAAGCTCATGTTTACCGACGAAGAGGCTCACGGCAAGTGTCAGACCGTCCTCGGAGCCTGGAGTAAATTCAACGGTCGCACACGCATGATGAAGGGGCTCTTCAACTACGAGACGGCTTATCGGAAGTATACCCGCCTCTTGCTGGAAGATTTCGTCCGGGACAATATCCAGTACGCCGAGATCCGACCGAACTTTATGACGACGAACCAAGTATGGCTCGACGATGGCTCGAAGCAGGTCGAGAACCAGGAGATCGTCAAGATGATCATTGACGAGTACGAAAAGTTTCAAAGGAAGAACAAGGGCTACTTTGGCGGCATGAAGATTATCTACTGCACCCCGCGCTCGTTCACGAATGACCAGGTCCGGAAGGCCCTCGGGGAGTGCCTCGAGTTCAAGGGCCGGTGGCCCGAGTGGATAGCGGGCTTCGACCTCGTAGGCGAAGAGGGCCAGGGCCGGCCCCTCCGCGAATTCGTCCCCGAGTTTCTCGAATTCCGCACCCGCTGTGACGCGGCTGGACACACGATCCCCTTCCTCTTCCACTGCGGTGAGACGCTCGAGATGGGCAACGACACGGACGGCAACCTGCTCGACGCGCTGCTCCTCAACTCGCGTCGCATAGGCCACGGCTTTGCGCTGGCGCGCCACCCCTACGTCATGGAGCAGATGAAGCTCCGTGGCGTCTGCCTCGAGGTGTGCCCCATCTCCAACGAGGTATTGGGCCTGACGCCGCGGATGAACGGCCACTCGATTTATAACCTACTGGCCAACGACGTGCATTGCACCATCAGCTCGGACAACGGGACGCTCTTCAGGTAAGCATCAGCACCGCGTCGCGCTCGCCAATGCTAATGCTGCGTTGCAGATCAACCCTCTCTCACGACTTTTATCAGTTCATGGTCGGCAGGCAAGACACGAGCCTCTTCGGCTGGAAGCAGCTCATCCAGTGGAGCATCAAGCATGCGTGCATGGAGGACAAGCAGAGAAACAAGGTGACAGCCGTGTGGGAAGGTCTGTGGGAGACATTCTTGGACAAGGTGATTGACCAGTACTCTGATCTGATCGGAGACGACCTGTAACGGTCATGTGTTCCCTCTGACACGGCAGATGGGCGTTGCACGTTGGTACCTGGAGTTGGAGGCTGGTTTTGACAACAAGACGAGGAGAGTAGCGCCTTTGATGATGATGGCTTTATGGCTAGATCACAGGGCCTGTGGCCGGGCGACTGCGCCCCAACGGGCTTTTTTTTATTGATTTAGAATTATTGAAATATGACATGATGTTCTGCTTTACGTTTTGGGGAGCAACTGTTCTGATGGCACGTTGCTGGGTTTGGTGACAAGTTCACGATGCGTAGAGTGTGACAGGGATAGACGCATCATTGGGAGGCACGTATTTGGCAAACCAGTATTTCCAGGTCTCAGCTTCGTCGCGTGACCAGCTACGGGGCCTCTAGCTACCAAATCTGCCATGCAGAAAGGGGACAGACATCGGTGCCTAGCTTTTTCTCATACGTCTCATGCACTCATAACCTTTCGTTCCAAGGCCTGGCCACACTTGATCCACGCCTCAACGACTGCCATCCAACCCCTCCACCTCCCCCCCAAAGCCCGAGCATCCCATGCATCCCATCTCCCCCCTCCCTCCTGTGCTGCCATAAAACTCCAACCCGAAAGCGCAAAGCAAGGGAAAAAGAAAAGAAAGAAATCGAAAACGAACAGGGGCGAGATCAACCACCCATCTGGTAGCGGTAGTAGTAGGTCTTTTGGTTGTTGTTCTTGACACCGTATTTGTAGTCGTTGCGTTTCTCGCGCAGCTCGCCAGACTTGCGACCGCGCTCCTCCGAGTCGCGGATGGCGCGCTTCTTCTCGCCCGAGAGGCCGACCATGCCGGCGGCATCGCGGCGCGCGAGAGCGCGGCCATTGCGGGTGGGGGCGAGCCTGCGGTCGCTGTTGCCCTCCGTCTCCGTGTCGTCGCTCGAGGCGGCCTCCTCGAGAGCGAGGCGCTCAGCGCGCTCTTCGGGGGTGGGGTAGTTTGTGAGGTTCTGCTTGTAGTAGCGGGCCATGGAGCGGTGGCCGACCGACTTGCCGTTGGGGAGGTGCATCTCGTAGTCGTCGTAAAAGACGGCGTGGTTGTGCTTGTGCGCGTGCGAGTGCCAGCCATCGGCTTGACGGTGGGCGCGGGACGTAGCATTCGAATGGTGCGGGTGCTTGTCGAGACGCTCGTACTGGTGATCGTGACGCTCGGCAGGCATGGCGGTAAGGTCTTCAGAGTCGAGGGACGAAGCAGAGCTGTCCGTCTCCCATCCGTCACCCTCGCCAACCTCCTTGCCATCCTCGTCCTTGTGCTTGGCCTCACGTCTCGCTCCGAGCTTGGCGCCGCCCTTATGGACTTCCTCCTCCTCATCCTCATCAGACTCCTCGTCGTCAGAGTACGTGCTCCTGAAGTCATAAAAGTCACCAATATCGAGCTGGGTCTCTTCGGTGTCAAAGGGCACCTTGCAGTGGCCCTTGTCACGCATGTGAGTTTGGACAGCGAACGCGGTGTTCTTGGTCTTGAAGCAGTACAGGCACTGATGGCCCTCGTGAACACGCTCTAGCAGGTGCTGCAGCAAACCCTCGAGGTCGACAAGATACTGCTTCTCGGGAATGAACATGTTGTGGAAACGCTCCATATGGTGGGCGTTGAGAGGGACGGTGGGCGAGTCGTAGTTGCAGAAGATGCAGGACTTGAGGGTCCAGCTGATCTCCGACTTGGGAACGGGTGTGGAAGACTCGGTCTCACCCTCACCGGCCTCGTCGGAGACAGGGTGGTCTTCACTGCGGTGTCCCTGAGCGGACGGCTGGGGGTTGGAGGGACGCTTGACGGGCGAGGGGCGGTTCTCGTCCTGCTTGTGGTCCAGCTTGGCGTTCCTCAGGCCCTCGACAACCTGTGTGAACTCCTCCTCAGCATCGGAATCAACAGACTCCTTGTCGGCGGCGATGGGGTCTCCCAGCGAAAAGGTGGAGCTCATGACGGAGCTGGCATCGTCGGCTCTGCTGCCACGACGGCCGAGAGCGGCCAGACGCAGCTTGTGCTTGGAGCTGGTTAGATGGTTCTGGTAGGCGTTCTCGCTCGAGTAGTTCTTCTGGCAGGCTTCGCAAGAGCGCTCAAACAGAGCCTTCTCGGCTTCGGCAGTCTGGACGGCGCGAGCCTGAAGAACCTTTTCGTTGAAAGTCTCGGAAGTGATGGGAGGCAGGGAGGCGACACGGCGCTTGAGGTTGTAGCGGCTGGAAGGCGGGCGCTTTGGTCAGCACTCTGCTGGGGCAGGCAACAGCGAACGACGGGTGCAATGTGGACAACTTACTGCCAGTCGCTCTTCATGTGGCCTCGCTGCAGGTCGATATTCCTGTAGGCAATGGTGCATGTGTTGCAGGTGAAAGGGTGAGAGGCCGACTCTCCCGCTGGGGGAGAGGACGCCAGAGTCGCCACATCGTCAGCGGCCACCATCGTGATAGCGTTCTTTGATGCGAGGTTTGTTGTGGTGGATGGTGTTGGAGAGAAGTGCTTTCGGGACGAGACAAGTCTAGTGGTATCGAGGCGGTTCAGCCGAAAGTCGAGTGCCGGAAAGGAACACGGGCGATCGCAAAGATGGTTCTTCTTTCTCGTGCCTGTGAGGTGGGAGCGGTCGCAAATATAGAGGGGAAGTTGCGATTTAAAGGGCTTGCGGGCAGAGTTTTAGTGGGCTGGCGGGGTCGATAGTCCTTATCGCGTCAAGGATGGAGGGGTTTTTGGCAATAGCCTTGGGCGACATGGCAAAGGATGGCAATTGTGCACGGATCAGGTAAGAGAATACGTCACTTTTAGGTGGCCACTTGCACCTCGGACTCAGTGATGACTTGTTGACTGCCTGTTGGTTGTTTTCCCCCATCCCTCCTGGCGACAGTCGACCCTTCTCGAGCCCGGGTCTCTCCCAGCCAAGACGCACCGTTCCAACCATGATGCCTTTGATTTATCCGAGTGGCCCCAAGGTGACTGGGCTTTCGAGACCTTAGTAGCCAGTGCTGGTAATTCTCAAGTGATTTGGGGGAATTTATTTGTGACCTCTTTGACTCATTCCAGGCTGGGCTTCAGGGTCTGTGGGGTCCTTCTCGCCCTTCCAGCCTGAAGAGGCCCGCCTCGGGGTACAGCCTGTGTCACGCCTTACATCACTTGTCTTCATTCATGATACATTCGCAGCATCTAGTCCGTGGCGGAATGTCACAAATCATGCAGTCTACCACAGGACGTACCTTGCTTCATAGATGGCTAGGCCGTGCAGGTAAATAGGACCAGATGATGAAAACAGTAAATGCAAGGCCGGCCATGCCGAAGCTTGGTCAGCAGCATCTAGTGCCACTGCCACGCCACTGCCCAGAGCCTCACAAGCTAAAACCCCAGTCAAAGTGGGGTCTCATTGGCCCATGCACTAAACGCCAGGCGCGGCAGCGGCCATTGTAAGGGAACGCACTCGACCTGGCAGACAGCGCACGACCCTCCACCGGGGCTGATGTACGCCGCGCGCCGATACAGGGTGGCCACCCCGTCTGGTGCATCCATGGGCGCCTCTCCGCCAACTTCTGATCCTCGACTCCATCAAATGCTATCCATCCTTCGTCTTCTTTGTCCCATCTGTACTCGTACCTGACGCACGTGATACCCTTATTCTTCCCCTGACGATTTGCTTTCTGTCCCCATCGATCGCGGCAATCCAGCCGCCACCGCCGCATTCGCCCCAAGCCCTGCCTTGCGAGAGACCTAGAGGCTGAAGCTACGACATCCCGAGCGAGGACGACCTCGCCGAGAGCTCGGTGACTCCGGAGCACCCCTACTACCGGAGACACACCAGACCCCGAGACAGACATGACGCGACTCGACCTTGCATCACAAGAAGATGGCGACGACATCTTTGCCTCGTTGTGGGAGGAGGCGCCGCCCTTTGCGCGCCTGCCTGCTGATGCGCCAGCCGAGCTGAGACAGCTCGTAGCCGACATTGAGAACCCGAGGCGAGTCTACGCCGTATACCGCGCCAGCCGACGACACAACTTCCAGCTGCTGGTCGAGCGATACGTCGCCCAATTACGATATGGCTGCGACTCGGAATCCTGCGTCACCGCGACTTGCTTCACGTGCCGCCGCCGAATCGCCGGCAAGGCCCCTCTGCGACGTTACAACACAACCAGCGCAAGGACGTTGGCTGTCTGCCTCGCCAGCCAGGATAATCCGGAAAACGGCCTCTGCCCATATCTGAAGCCATCAAAGGAGCCGGCAGGAGCATTGAACTCTCTCATATTTGCTCCAAGGCAGTCTTCGCAGTCCTTCAGCGACCCCTTCGCGCCGAGGCAAAGCAACATCACTCGAAAGAACTCGGATTCGCGAAGGCCAGGTGCTGTGAGATCTCCTCCTGCTGAACGGGCTGAAAACTCGGATGGATGTCAGCTGGAGAACAACTCAAGAGGCCAAAGCCACAGGAGGAGCGCGAGCGGTCGAAGATCACGCTTCGACTCGGAGACTGGGGAGCTTCAGGAGCCTGACGTCAGAGTCATTGAGCGGCCTATCAGCAAGGATCACCGATCCTTCGCTGCCAACGTTTTTGGCACCGTCGCATTCAAGATGTTGGAGTGGCTTACCCCGAGCGGTTTGGCTGCGATGGCGCAAAAGATGGACGGCATCGACACAGACGAAAAGGCCGAGGACTCGGATGACGCCAAAGATCCAGCACCACAAACAACGCCGATATCCATGGATGAACCACCGTTGTCATCATCGAGCGACACACAAACAGAACAACCGAAGGCCAATCTCGAGCCGATTGAGCCTGAGCTGGAAGTCGCGACAGAACCTAGCATTCCCGAAAAGCCGAATCCGACAGCTCCAACACCCGCAGTGAACGTGGATAAGCCGCGGCGGAAATCGAGCGCCAGGGTGCGCGCGACCTCCAGTGCGAACCCAAAGAGGACGATTCCAATCGAACCCTCGCCTGCATTCGTGGAAGGCTCTGCGCCTGGTATCACATCACCGCGCTTGAACGGCAGTGTCATAGACAAGGTTCAACGACCTCCGAAAGCTGCGGCGGCCAAGACACGGGCTATCCCTGATATCCCTGCAACTCCTTCTTTCTTTGACAATGTCCCGCCACGACAGAATGATGTTACCTTGACTGAAGAGCCAAAATCAATGACAAGATCAGAGGTCTGCGGCGTCGAGATGGTCGCCGAAAATAAGCCTGTAAAACGAAGTAGCATAGTCCTTCCGTCCCAAACGGAGGATAAGCCCGATATTTCGCCCCTCAAGCACAACGCGGCAGACTCGGGGGAATTCGCCATACCAGAAGGCATACTGCCACAATCCTTGACAACACTCAACATCGACCTTGTAGATCTTATCAGCGACATTCTTCAAGATGACGGAACTGCCGAGTCGCATCTTTTGGAGCCAGCGACGGTAACGCGGTCAATCTTAGAGGTCGCAGATCAGGTTCAAATTCCTCGAAGATTGAAGGGAAGCTACAAGACCTACCCCAAACACTTGAAAAAGCAGTGGAAGCAATTCATTGAACAAAGTCTGTTCAATATCCTGAGTGACCCTGAGAAGCTTATCGCATCCTTCGTGAGAGATGGCGAGCTTCTCGACTCTCATTCACTCTGGTATTGCATGCTGCGACTGACCAGAGTGGCGCCCAGCCTGGTGTTCGACAGTCTGTGGATAGCTTCAGCCAGCCTCTTCGGCACATCAAGAATTCACCAGCTGTCTCGCTCTTCACGAAGGCCTGACGTACCTGGGCCTTCAGTCAACAACGCCCAAGCAGGCCAGCTGATGGCTATCTGTCTACATGCCTTGGTTGCCGCAGCGCCACTTGTCCACGACACGCGGACTCTACAAGAAATGTCCAGGATCAGGTCGAATGGCTTGACTCTTGCCGGCAGTGGTGCCATCGCGAAACAGCCCGCTTGGCTGTGCCTCCAGTACGAAGACGCCTTCTCCGACGATCTAGTCTTGCGCCTTGCTAAGCGTCTCTTCTCCGCCATCTCAGCCCGTCAATACGCAGCGGAGATGACTGGTAACAAAGAAGGCTTAGCCTCTACCCGGACCGACAAGAGTGCTCTTCAGCCTCTTCTAGCCCAGCTCGACCTACTCAGCATCAACACGACGCCAAGCCTAGAATTCACGGCGGCCGAGCGAGCTGTTCACGAGGCCAGGGCGTCTACGCTGCTCCTTGACTGGGCGAAGACGGTGATGCTGAGAGAATGGAACGGGGAGCCCGAGATTTCGTGCAACAGCTCCTTCGGGGGAGCGGTGGCTCTTATTGCAGCCATGTGTAAGTCCCATGCAAGCCCTCAGAAGTCGAACTCATACTAATCATGACTTTAGACGAAAAACGGCACTCCCTGCTTCTAGGTGACGCGCAGTTCCGTGTCGACTATTTTGCGGATCGACTAGATTCAATCAACATGCCGGTCGAGTGGCTTTCGCATAAAACGACTCAGCATAAGAAGCACATGCTGGATTTCCCATTCATCTTCAACCCATCCACCCTTGTCTCCTACTTCCGCTCCGTCAACTTCCTTCGGATGAGTCGTAGCTACGAAGAGTCCAGCTCGTTGCAAACTAGAATGAAGGCAATCGTTGCGCCTGGTGGTCTCATCACTGACCCTCACCATCGCGTGGTCCTGCAGGATCTCCTCCAAACAGCGTCTGGGAAGTTCCTCGTGCTCGACATCAGCCGCGACGGTGTGGTGCGGGATGCGTTCGATCAGCTGTGGCGTCGCGAAGCACGAGAGTTGCTGCGGCCTCTCAAAGTCCACCTCGGCGAGGAAGGTGGCGAAGAAGGTTTTGATTCGGGCGGTGTTCAGCAAGAATTCTTCAGACTCGCCATTGCTGAGTGCCTGGATCCTGATTTTGGCGCCTTCGCAGTGGACGAGCGCACGAGAATGGCATGGTTCGTGCCAGGCTCTATCGTCCCGGTGTGGAAGTTTGAACTCCTGGGGATACTCGTGTCTCTTGCGGTCTACAACGGTCTGACGCTGCCCATTACATTCCCAAAAGCCATGTATCGCAAACTACTCGGCGAGCCCGTCGACGAGCTGCATCATATTGCCGACGGATGGCCCGATCTTGCGAGCGGACTGACTACTCTGCTGGAGTGGGACGAGAAGGACGGGGCTGTTGAGGATGTGTTCGCCCGCACGTACGAGTTCTCGGTTTCCATGTTCGACCAGCCCATCTCTCGCGAGATGAACTCGGAGAACCCGAGCTGGCCGCAGCTGAAGGCTAAGTCCGAGTCGCTGGCTGCGCAGAACCCTGCGGACGCACCTCTCGTCACTGACGAGAACCGCAACGCCTACGTCAGCGACTACATTCGCTATCTCACCGATGTTTCCGTCCGCCCGCAGTTTGAGGCTTTCCTGCGCGGCTTCCGCGCCTGCCTCCATCCCAAGTCTCTCGGCCTGCTTACGCCGCCGCTCCTCCAGTCTGTTGTTGAGGGCGTCCAAGACATCGATATTGCCGAGCTGCGTCGCTACACGCGCTACGTTGGCTGGGACGCGAGCCACCGCGCTGTGCACGACTTCTGGTCGATCGTCAAACGGTATGACGACACTATGAAGAGGCGGCTGCTCGAGTTCGTCACCGCCTCTGACAGGGTGCCCGTCGGCGGGATGCGGAACCTGCAGTTCGTGGTGCAGAAGAACGGCGAGGAGGAAGGAGAGGGCGGACACTTGCCCACGGCGTACACGTGCTATGGCACCCTGTTGCTGCCAGAGTATGAGAGTAAGGACGTGCTGCGGCAGAGGCTGGCCATGGCGCTGGAGAATTCGAAGGGATTTGGATTTGCTTGATTTCGTAGCCGGTGTTCTCGGCACAAGCGTGATAGAGGTAGCTTTACGGTATTCAACAGCGCTGTTTTCGACAGATTATCTAGAGCATGCAGCGTGCGTGGGTGGCAGTTAAAGCCTTGTTTTAATTCTGGGATTTTGTGAATGTCGTATGCGTAGAGTATATTCATCGGGGAGCTGCTTAACGTCTAAAGGCAATAGGTCCGTAGAGTGCGTTAGAGTGAATCGTAGAGAGACCGGTTTTTGGGGAGTGTCCTATGTGTTCTGGTTGTAACTATGCCAGAGCGTGGAGAAGCCCGTTACTCCACGGATAGAGATGCCACGGAAAAAAATACTGCCCTGCGACCCTCAATCCCGTCCACGTCTGAGCTTTGCGAGTATCTCGTTTTCTGCGCCACTTGCGGCATTGACGAGACTAGAAGCATTATGATAGCCGTTGCCCCCTGAGCTCGGCCCCGAACACGCAGCTTTTCAGGCCGTGACAACCGTCGGCTGAAGGGAACGAACTAGGTGGGAAACATCTCACAAGAGAGAGTTCTTGTCGCCACCGATCTTGACATTACCACTGAGGCTCGGCCGAGTAACCGACAACAACGTGGGGAAATGCCGATGGCGCCCCCTCCCAAGTTGTCAGAACTTCCCAGCCCCCGATCTTTCCCAAGTCGCTCCCGCTCACGAGCTCCCAGGCACTACAGCATTCTCTGTGGCTGCTGGTCAAGGAAACCCTCCTCCCCCCCTCCTCCCCGCCTCAACTCCAGTCGTCGAACCGCCGCCCCCCGGACGCCCGGCAAGCGAGGCGAGGCTAACTCTTTTCTGTGCGAAGACCCGGGGTCTGGCAGATTACCATGCGGGGAAGGCCTAGCGACCGTTGAAGAAAAACGAGGGCGATCTCCGCGTTTTTGGGTACTCTAGCGCCAAGTCGTGATAACCCACCAATGGTCGACATGGGGGCCTCGCTCTTAGATGTGCCGGTTATGCGATCCCTCATTGACGAATGGTCTGCGGGTTATAAGAGTGCCGCGGGCCAGCGGCTGGGGAGGAGCACACGGGAGAAAAGAGAGTGAGAGAGTTGTGTGATGTGTCAGGAATCGTCTTTCTCGTGAAGATTGGGTCAGTCGAAACATGTCGCTCTCCTGGAAGACACTCGCCGTCTACGGCCTGTTGCCTGTCGTCTCGGCGGCGGGCAAGTTCAATTGGGAAGACACCAAGTCTGTGTAAGTACCGCGAACACCGAGTGCAGTTCTGAGCATACTTTTGTTGTGTTGAGGTTCACGTCCAAAGCTGACACACAAGCCAGCATCGCGTTCGGCGACTCGTACACATTTGTCCTCGGAACACATGGCCGCACGGCTTACAGCTTCATCGGGGATTACCTTCCAGGGAACTTCTCCTTCACGCCAAAGGAACTCCTCGAGAACAAGATTTGGCAGAACTACACCGGCACATCTGCCGGAGGACCAAACTGGATCGAGCACCTGACAGACTGCGCCGTCGAGGATGGTTCATATTCTCCCCTCGACTGCAAAGTCCAGCTGTGGGATTTCGCCTTTGCTGGTGCCAACACGGCCGAATCGCTGTCAGTGAACCCTCCCCGAAACGCCGTGTTTTGTGACACGCAACTGTGACCATTCTCTGAACACGCGCCTGACTGTGACCCTGCCAGCTTGCCCTTGCACCACAACTTCACGGTCCCCCTCGTGAACCAGACCCAGCAGTACCTCACCTGGGCCGACCCCGTCCTCCGCAAGAAGACGTGCCTCGACCGCTCCAAGTCGCTCGTCGCCATCTGGATCGGCATCAACGACATCAACGACCTCTACCTCCTCAACCTGACCTCGCGCCAGATGTACCACGACCACATCAAGGCCCTGCTTGAGGAGTCGGTCCAGAGCCTCTACGACCGCGGCTACCACAACTACCTCTTCGTTGGCCTGCCGCCCCTCGACCGCAACCCGGGCAACCAGAAGAAGCAGGCGCAGTTCGAGGCCGGCATCGGCGCCGGTCCGCTGCCCAACGCCACCATGATCGGCTGGTGGTACGACGAGCTGCGCACCCAGACGGCCGCCTGGGCGGCCGCCCACGCCGACGCCAAGACCATCGTCTTTGACGCCTACGACTTTCTCAACGACGTCTTCGACAACCCGGCGCCCTACGGCATCACCAACACGACCGACTTTTGCGACGCCCGCCGCCAGTGGCCGCAGATTGTCGAGGACCCGGCCCAGTTCGGCTGCGGGCCCATTCACGAGTACTTTTGGTTCGACAGTGGACACATGTGAGTTTGTTGACATGAAGTCATCTTCCCGGGGATTTCCCCCCCTCTACCTTCCTTGCTTTTGCCGTTACTGACTAGTTCTCCCGCAGCGGCACGAGGGTTCACAAAGCACTTGCGGATGGAATCAGGCAGGCGTTGATCGAGGAGTCGGATTAACATTGTGCGACCATCCTATATCCTAGATAGATGTAAATACAAGCCCTTCTGTATCTTTGTCTGTTGGCAGGATAACGGCCACTAGAAACAACATATGTACCAGTCCAAAGCAGCCGCTTGGTAACTTGACATACCATCAAAAGTACGAAGGGCGGACGGATTTCCTGTCGGACGATAGCCGTTTTGGCTCACATAGTCATCGCCAAGTAATCAGCAATCCGTATTCATGCATCTGCTCCTGAATCATATCGGCACCTGGCAGCACGGATCCCTAAACCTTTTGGTATGAGCATGTCAAGGATGACAAACCATACGTTTTCACAAGTCTGGGCGAAGTACATTCTGAGCAAAGTACATACTAATTGTACCATTCTACAACTACTCAATCCACAGAAGTTGATCCCTAATAGCCTGTTCTGTAGCTGGCATAATGCTGAGCCTGGGCCGAGAAAAGCAGGCGCAAGAAATAGAAGGAGAGCCTCTTGACGCCTGAACGACCATTCCATGCAAGTCATGACTAATGATATGAGGGGACTGTTTCTCGTGGGATCCCTCCGCGCCTTTGCCCAAATGATATCCTTTGTTCATGTTGCCCTACTCCACCCATTCATTCGCAGACATCATCCCGCGAATCTCCCAGAACCCAACCGGGGCAGAGAGAAGAGTTCGTTGATGCGTAATCCGTTATAATTTTCCTTCCTTTGGCAAGCACACGTGCTGCCTCTCAAGACAGGTGGAAGGCGCCCTGTCCCTCTCGGATAGCCATCGTCAGCTGCTTGCGCATGATGTCGAGATCTGTGTAATCCGGGAGCTTGAGGTAGTTTACGCAAGTCATGACACTGGGAAGGTAGTCATCAGACGTGAACGGTGCCTCGCTCGGTTTGCAGACGACAGTGAACATGGGCGTCAAGCTCTTGAAACCTGCACACAAACGCATTAGTATTGGGAGCAACAAAACAAAGATGGGACGGGGCAGCTCACCTCCAATCGGAAGCTTGGGGCTGCCCGTGGTAAATTGCAAGAAGTCGCGACGCTCGTTGGGGGTCAGCTCGCTCATGGCCTGTAGCAGATTGCGAACACTCTTGCTGTCCATGTTGTAGCCGTGATCAGCCTTGATCGAATCCATGAGTGCTGCAGCTGATTAGAAGTTGTCTTCGACCATACGGAGCATTGAACTTACTTTCAAGGGACCAGTCCTCGTCGACACGGCCAAACAGCGAGACCAGCTCATCCGGAGTGAATGCACTCAGAGCCGAATAGGGGAAGACTTGAGAGAAGCCAGCACGGAAGGCATCGACTTGGCGGCGGACTCCGCTGCCCAGTGTCATGTCGATAACTCGATCGAGGTACGAGTCAACGTTGTCCATGGTGACTCTAACATGAGATCCGTTCGCGACCAGCTCAATCTCGGGGTAACCGGGTAATGTAAAGTCGAGGCAGAGGTCCTCCAGTCTCACGTCGTCAATCACGATAGCTTCAGTGTCGGCAACCTTCTGTGCCGGCGTGCGTGTAGGGTCCTCATCGATCTCCTTCTTAGCGATAGAGAATTTCTTGATGGTTTTCAGAGATCTCGCCAGGCCAGGATCGACAACCTTGACAGCTCCTAGCGAGGGCTTGATGCCGGAAATCGAAGCTCCATCAGTAATTCGGAAGAAGGTGGGGTTGAAGTTGAGATCGATGATGCGAGAGTCAATCATGGAACGGGCGACGAATTTGCCGAGAGTCTTGAAAAGCTGGCAGATCCGCTCGCCATTGGCAGAAGCAGCTTCGTCGGCACTCAGAGGGCGAGGGAAGAGACCGCTGACACCAGAAACATACTCATCGTCGTGCGAGTCCATCTCTCGCCAAAGCTTCAGTTTCTTCTTTGAGAACTCTTTGGACACCGTCGAATAGAACTCCAGTGTCGGTCCGAGACCTGTGCCGACCTCTTCGAAATATTCCACTTCGAGAATGCTCTGAGAAGCACCGTAGAGCTCCATGACCTTCAAGGCAGACTCCAAGATCTTGGATCGCGAGATACGCACCTTCTGGCGTTGCAGACGGCCAAGGAACGGGCGCTCGTTACGGTCCCGCCGCGACTCCTCAACGGACTGTGCATTCTGCCAGCGCGTCATAGAACGTGCGTAACCGAATGACGTGGACTGTAAGAACAGGTGCCGCGTCTCAAATGGGAAAAGGAATGGGTATAGGGTGGCCAGGTCTTCCGCCCAGCTTGGCAGGCAGTTACTTGCAACAACCAGCGGCTCCTCAAGTTGACGGTTGAGCTTGGCGGTGAGTTTGGTGTTCACGAACTGTGACAGGGGCTCGACGTTGAGGCGGACGGTGTCCTTGTTCTCCACCAAGACATCATCCACGTTAGAATTCAAGTCGTGGAGGAGGTTGAGCAGACGCAAAATGGACGCTGTTGCCGGGTGCTTGGCAAGAGAACTAGGGATGCCGTCCGTGCTCTCGTCAGCGCTGGGCTCGAGTCTGCCGCCGAAAGTGCTACCACTTTCGGGCGGTGGAGGTCCGGGGGCGCGACGGAACTTGATGGGATGCACCGCAGACCAGATGCTGCGGCTGAGATGCTCGTCCGAGTTGGAGGCTGACATGTGGACCGCGCGATAAATCGTTGTCTCGCTGGGAAGCGCCTTGCCGTCGAGGCTGAACTCGATGTGCCAGTCTTGAGGCACGGACTGAATGGCTGCAGCATACGACATGAGGCGTGATGCCGCTGATGGGGTTGTGCTCTGCTGCGAGGCAAGGGCTGACTGGCCGCTGGCACGAGTTGGGAGACCTGAGCTTGTTTGAGCGGGCGTGGGAATGCGAGTGCCATCCTCTTCGCGAGCCGTCACCTTGCCGCCTGCAGCCACTTCGAGGTTGACAGCGCCGGGGTCGTCCATTGGAGAATCGTCCATGTCATCTTCTAGCTCGCCGACTATAGCATCCAGAGCACTGCTGCCACCAATGTCGTCATCGTCGGTCAGTTGCTTCTCGTCGGCGCATTCGAGAGCGTCCTGCAGGTCGTCATCGTCGTCTGTGGGCTTGGTGGGCTGCGGCGTTTCAGCTGCGCCAGAGCGGCGCGCAGATCGTCTCAGCACGCCCTTGTCCCGGGCGGCGGCAGTCGGATCAGGAGTCGAGGGAGCGTCAGACTGCGGCAAAGTCTTTGATCTGGTCTTGCGCGAGGCCCGCGAGCTCGACGGTGTTGCCGAGGGCGTCGAGGCGCCGGGAGCAGGCGGTGGGGGGCCGGAGCTCGAGGCTGCCGCAGCACGCTCAGCTGCAAATCGAGCGGCAGCGGCCTGTGTGAATGGCGAGAGACCACCAGGAAGAGCTCCAGCGCCTGCCATGGCAGCAAGAGCTCTGGAGAGGCCGTCGGCTCGGCGTGATGCACGGGGTCCACGCTCCGATAGACTGAGTCGAGGGCGCAAGTAATCATCGAGTGATTTGAATGTCGCGATAGCGTGGATAGACACCATAATGTTTCGGTAGGGACGTGGAATCTCCGAGTCATCGTCAGCGACCAGCCTGAGTCTGATCTGCTTGGCGAGCATGGACGCTGCACTGCTGCGATGGTCAAAGGTGTTGTGGTGGACAGTAATGACCTCGAAATGCTCAGACCTACTGAGCAAATCTTGTAGCTTGTGGATCATGACGCTGAAAGGCGTTGCAGGCGAATCCGCCGTTGCCGTCTTGAGTTTGGCCTTGACCGTGAAGCCCATGAAGACGCGAAGGAAAGTCGATTGAGCTGCGCGGGCAAGCTCCTCGTTGGGATTGCTGAAGACGGCCAGAAGCACGCGCACCAGGCCAGAGGCAAGTAGCTCGGCGCTTGTGACGCTTTCAAGAACCTCTGCGTCAAAGTAGGAAACCAGCCTCTCAAACAGTTCGGTGCCCTTATCGAGAGGCACGACGCCGGAGGTTCTGTGGAGGTAGAAAGCCTCAATCTCTTCAGCAAGACTGGAGAGGTTGGTCAAGACCTTGATCGCCTTCTTTTTCATTGTCTTGCCTTGCTTCTCCGTGTCATGGGTCTCGATGAACTTCTTGGCCACGTCTCGGATGCGAGTTCGCATCGATTGGCCGTCCCCGAGGTAAGTTGGAGGAGCGCCGTCCAGGGACATGGTAGATCCTCTGGAGCTAACAGGTGAACCAGAACCATCGTCTTGGTGTCGGTTATTCTCATTATCCTCGTCGTCCTCGTCTTCATCATCGTCTTCGTCATTTTCCGAGCCGTCTTGGTCGTCTTCCTCTGCATCTTCCTTCTCCTCGTCAGAACCATCATTGTCCGAGGCACGACCTTCAGCGTCGTTCTCAACTTCAGGCTCAGCGGGTTCCGGGGTACGCGTAGCCGATGCCGAACGAGCCTCAGGCTGAGGAATCTCCTGAGCCGCGAGCTTGGCGATTTCGGAGATGACTCCCTCGCGGTACATCTGATAACGGTAAACATCATCAAGGCGATTAAGAAGAAGCTCAGTAGCCTGGAGGCCAAGCATCACCAGAGACGGGTGGTCCTGCTGAGAGAGAATTGAGGCAAGGAATGAGGCATAAGGCACAGTCCTCAGCGACTCTCCAAGAATTTTCTCATCGAGGTTGGAGAGCATCTTCAGTTGGGCGGTAAGCACCTTCTGCCGCACACTCAGGTTGACAGTGCTTGAGTAGGCGTCGGTTAGGGTGGGGAAGAGAATCAGGGCAAATCTCCTGACCTCTTCCTGGCACTCACCCAACAGCTCGATTCTCTTGTCGTTGGGCGTCTTGCGAGTCTTGCCTGGCGTGCTGGAAGATGGGGGTGCCGGCTCCGTAGCAGACATTTCAACAAAGTCTCCGTAAGACGGGTCCGCGTTGCGAGGCAGACTCGGAAGCAACTCACATATGACGTTGAGGGTTTCGATAATCTGTTCACGAGGCCGATGGATGAGAGCCTGCATGATGACAACGCTGTCAAGTTTTGAGGCCACATCCTCGGTCCCACTCGGGGGTGACACGCCGGTCAAGATTTGATACAACGTTTCGACAATGTTCAGCTTGAAGAGCTCTGCCGACAAACGAGGACTTGAACGCGCAGTGAAGGCCAGTACCCGAAGAAACTGGGTGTGGATTGATGGACCGATCAGATTCGTGGTGCCGGGGACCAATAGACGTAGAACAACCTTGAGGAGGTCGACACTGACGAGTTCCTCCAGCTTTGAAGATTGGTACTTGAAGCTCTCGACGATTCCCGAAACACAGAGTGACGCCTGCTCAACGACGCGCTGGTCACTGCTGTTAAGCACGTTGAGCAGGGTCGGCATGACGTCCTTGATGACGGAGAATGAATCCTCGGGGATATTGCGACAGCAGTTCGCCGCTGTGGTGACAGCTGTACGTTGCGTGCTTGTGGCGAAGAAGTCGAGGTAAGACAGACACGCCGTTAGGCCGCCCTCTCGGACGATGCTTGAAGGATATTCGGCGGAAATCTTCTCGAGAGTGCTGAGTGCCTGCTCGGCAAGGTCGATGAAGGAAATCTCCAGTAGCTTCTGACAAAGCACGGGCACCGCACCGCCGTACACCACGTTGGCGACACTCGCGGGTAGCGCTTCCATCAGATTGGCCAAGCTACGGCACGCAAGAAGCATGATCTCTGGGTTCTCTTCCCCGGTAATCTCATTGGGCTGCATCAGCGTCACGAGTTCCTTGACGAAGGAATCTGGAGAGAAATGGCCAGAAAGGTTGTCTTCGTTGGACACAAGCAGAATCTCCGAGAGCTCCTGCAGTGCGATGAGCTGCATCGTGGGATCTTCCTTCTGCCTGAGTTGGGCCAGCAGTTCTCTCAGGCGGCTCGAGAGCCCAGACATCATGCCAGTCAAGGCCCTAAGGGTACTGGACAGTCCGCCAGGGCCACCGGGGCCACCGAAACCGCCAAAGGGATCGTCATCCTCGTCGTCGTAGCGTCCGAGATCGTCCTCGTCATTCTCATCGTTCTCATCGCTGTCATCGTCCTCGGGTTGGTGCTCGGGAGGTGGTGGTGGAGGTGGGGGGACAGCATCCTTGTTGTCGGCGTCGTCGGTGCCGGTCATGGCAGTATCGTGGTCTGCGGCATTGTTGGCCGTGTTCCTCTTCGTTCGGCGGGTTGAAGTCGACGTGCCAGGTGCGGAGTCTGGAGAAGAAGAATGGTCAGCATTTTTGGCAGCCACGACGAGGCAGAAGCAAACAACAGGGTTGGCTGGGTCAGGCCATACCTTGGCTCGTGTGATGGCCCGCTCTCTTGCCTCGACTAGACTTTCTGCTAGAGGAGCCCGACACGGGTGCAATATGCTCGGAGGCGCCTGGGGCATGACTGGGGGGTGAGCGGTCAGCGAAAGGCCAATGAAACATGTAGAAAGCTGTATTTCAGAAAGTGTGCGACGTACTCTGGACTAGACATGCTGGCGGGGGTCTTGCCCTTCGCCTTGGCGCGAGGGACAGGTGTTTGAGTGGCGGTCGTCTGGGACGGAGTTGAGGCGTCGTCGGAGGTCTTTTGACGTTTGGAGCGACGGGACGTCGAGGCTGCTTTTGGGTTCGCCGTCGCAGTGGCAGTGGTTATAGAGGAGGCGGCTTGGGATGGGCTGTTGGACTGCGGCCCAGCCTTGCGCTTCTTGCTGGGCGGAGACTGCTTCGAGGTCGAGGGAGTGGGATTCTGAAGCGTGGCAGGTGCAGCAGGAGAGGAGTCGGCGCCGGTGGCAGAAGTGGTGGCAGAAGCTGAGGCTGCCAGGCTCGCAGCTTGTCGAGTAGAAGACCTAGTGACCCTATTGGCAGGCATGAGCGGTTGGCTTTCGTCTTGACGTTTGGGAGGCATGACGAAATGGAGCGGTGAGAGTGGGGGTATCAAAAGGTGTAGAAGAATGATCAAAACCGGGCCAGGCGTGAAGAGGGGCGACCGCGGGCAGGTGAAAGACTCTCAGGGTCCACGAGCCGCGATGCTACGATGCCGGCATGCACACTGAATGGCCGAGTCCGGTCGAGCTAGCAGCCAAACGGAGCGGTTGGTGGTGGAGGAAAGAGGTGGGTAGAGAGGGAAGAGGGTGGAGAGGGTCAGGTAATGGGAGGCACGGTTGGGAAGCCTTGTGGAAGAATGACGAGTCAACCGATGAGGGTTCCCATTTTTCGACCCTTGAAGGACCCGAAAATCTGAGGAGGAGGAGAAGGTGGTGGTGGTTGATCCAAAGAATAATATTCGACCCGCGACTATGCACAAGGCACAAGGCACAAGGCGTCAGGCTGGATTGGGGGGACAAGTCTCGAGCGTAGTGCGTAGGTGGTGCAGATGCAGGCAAGTACTTGTGGGTGGTGGAGGGCAGGTGCTATCGCGTTTGGTGGAGGGAGGTGCTGCACGCCAAGTGCGGGTGCTGGTGTTGGTGCTGGTGCTGGCTGGTGCTGCGGGCCTTCTGACAGCACCCCCAGATACAGGGCAGCCAGGCGGTACGAGGGGATGCCACAGGAAAGGAAGGAGGCCAGATAATAAAGAGACGACAACATCTTGCTGCCACCCCTACTCTCTATTCGACAACCATGTGGTCAAGGCGGCCTGGAACCTGTATGGCTCTCAAGGTGCCTGGTCGACCCAGAGCACGCCCTCGGTGAAGGCCAGGTGGGGGGACGACGCATGTGCCTTATCTCCCGGGGACGTGAGGAGTCCGCCCTTCGCAGTCCGCCTAGCGGTTCAGCGCCGACAGCCAACATGACCTCCAGTACCACCAGAGTCATGAAAGGGGCGTGGGAGGGAGAGACTCGAAGAAAGGATTTTGAACTCGAGCAGCGGAAGGCACAGGGAGAAAGAATCAATGAGAAGGGCAGACACTGACCTTTGTGAAGGCGATATGGAGTCGTCTCGGGGGGAAGACCCGAGGCCGAGAGCTGGCTTTCTTGTGGCCGTCGACGGCACTGTCGTCGTAAGATGAACGTCGTCGTTGTAGTCGGCTGCCGGTCTGAAGCGCGGAGTTGCAGAAGATGTTCGTTCTGCCATGGATCACGCCATCAGACAGGGCAGCAACAGCTGGCGATGGACAACGAGCAGTGTGCTGTTTGTACCCTGCTCTTCTTCTCTCTTTCTGGCTACCTTTTGTCGAGCTCTCGGGCAGAGGGGTGGTTTCTTCGGGAGGAGCGTCGAGAAGGCTGTCGTGTGTGTATACGTGTGTGCGTATAGTCGGTGCAACGGCCGGTTGAGATGACGCCTGTTCGCTAGAGGGGTTAGGCTCGAGGCGCGACTTGGATGGAGAGCGGTGTTCGGCGGTCGGTCATGGATGTAGTGGGGTGTCCAGCGAGGCGGTTCGAGCCGTCCGCCAAGGGGGGGTTGCGGGTGTTGTCCTTGTCTTTGGGGGATGGTGGCTGTTTCGCGAGGGGGATGAAGAGGGGCAAAGACGCTCCGTATCTTGTCCGGAGAGATTGTGTCGCTGTGTAAGAAAAGTGGTCGGGGAGTTTGGGCTGCAAAGGAAGGCTACGTACGGTATACTTTGCTTTTCTTGTGCTGCGTTGCGTGCCGTGCCACTCTGGGGTCTCTCGTCTGTTTGGTCTGGTTCATGGACACCACCAACCAACGTCGACAGTGGATGATGACTGATGCAATAGCTTCGAGCCCCTCCTCGCGGCTCTCTGTCTCTCTTGTGCGTGTGCGTCCTAGCGGGACGCGGGACTTGGCCGCACTGCCATCCGGTGACGCAGCCGCAAGTACCTCTACCGCGGGGGTGCTCCACGCCAGGTTCCTCCTTGTGTCACAAATCCATGATGCTCAACAGATCCGGTTAGCGCGGCCATCATCCGTACTCTTCGCCCATTTGACCTATCGTGATTTTAGGAATGTGCAGTATTACCACGACGAGATGCTGGACAGCCATTGCTGCAACGGTCGTACTGGACCTGCCGCCCTGACCAGTATTGATGTCTGCACTCATTTCATCCGAGATCCAGGCATAGTTCCGATCCAACAGAAGCCTACAAGTTTGTTCTCACCACAATCGAGTATGTCGTCCTTCGGGGGGAGGCTGCGCTGTGCCACAAAAGTAATCATGGACGGGTTCACACAATGCACCTGGAATATCTTGCAGACATTCGACCCCACCCAAGGTTCATTAAGTGTTGATTTGAATCGCGGCTATGGTCCAATGCATATGTCCAAAGTTTGCTGTGCCTCTTAGTTCCTCCGTCCTGTGTAGGAACCCGCCGCCGTCGCCTCCAAAAGCCAAAGATGGCCCCAGGTCAGGTCATTGGATCGTGGGTCGGTCATCGACGAAGCACAAGATGCAACGAGTAGACTCAATCAGACGAAACCTTGAGGCTTTTCTCCTCTTCGTCAGCCGAGGCGGCTGAGCAAGGGAGGTGACAAGGAAACCTCGACGAGAGAGAAAAAAATGCGCCCACCTGCCTATCCTTAGTACCACTCCTCAGAAGGAGGACCGATGTCAATCACACACAGCAAGCGAAAGCGGAGCTCCTACGCTCAGTATGGCAGTATCTTCGCCGAAGATCCGCACGATAGAGAGAAATCTAATACCTTGGAGAACTGGACTCGAAAAGCTGATCAATGGTGGGACACAGTGTGTCGAAGTCGACCCCGATCTGGGTCTTGATAATGAAGCCACGGCTCTTGTGTTTTCTGAGATGACAGTGTTTGACGTGATTAACAGTTGTGGGAGTAAACACAGAGCATGAGGGTGCTATGCATGCCGCGATGGTGACTTGAACACTGATCAAGGCGAGATGTTTGTGCTGATATTGTCCGAAGGAAGCTCGCAGGAAAGAATGCTCAGGAAACCTGGAACAATGGATTGAAGAAGTCTTTGGAAGTTCATGGGAGGGGAAAGATGGCGATGCAAATGGAGTTTGCAACGCCGAAAGCGCGCGAGCTTTAGCATATACGGCGAGGCTATGTACACCTTCCTTCTCGTGGTAATGCTGATGGCCTCCTTTCCTTGATAGATCCTCGGTCTGCACGAGGGAGGAACAACAAAGCAAATCCAACCTCGCCATACTCTTGCTTCGACCCTCCTGCTACAGCACTCTTCCTCCTCTACATGGGAACCACTCAAGATTTCAGGACACTGGAAGGAAAGCTTCGATGAGCCACCACATGGCAAGCACAACGCCTGGCCTGGCTCCTCTCGCCACACTTCTTTCCGTCATTCATTTTGGAGCCAACGATCTTATCTCGCTTGCTACCTTGTGCTGTGATCAGCATATAGGAGTCAATATGGATAAGTATTCAAACAAGAGCGAAGTACAGTCCATTTTACAAGCTATCTGCTGCCTTCACATCAATCACCCAAGCGCAGGCTGGTAATTGTCACCCTGACGATATAGCCAAGCAGATGACGTGACGTACTGGTCTAGGAATAAGCCGTCGAACAAATGGCAGAAAGTGATATACGCAATTGCACCTTGCCTCACATTCCCCGTGAAACCGAGGTTGACTATCGTCTAGACGTCTCGCATCCTGGATACGAGCAGCAAAGCACCGTCTAGTAGCTGTCAAGGTACATATAGTGATCGTCATTTTCTGCAGCATGGGCATGGCTGAGGACGTAGATCCGAGTTAGGTTGAAAGAAACATGCGGCTACGGCACGCATTCGATTCGTATCAGTGCTGATCGGACGATCGGTGACGGCTTCTCAACTCGCGTCCTGTTGCCAGGTACAAGCGTGTCTTGGCCGTCGAAGCTCAGGTTGAATATACCTGCCTCAAGTGAGAGAGTGCGCCTGCCGGGCCCAACCTCTCCGTTACGGTAGGTATTGTGATACTATTCGGGGTAAGGTGCATCCAGTAGGTAGATGACGTTCCGGCTTTGCCAAGGCAAGAACTCCCAGGGGCAGAGTTTTCCCCGGCTACCTACCTACCTACCTAAGTACCTACCTAAGGTGGGTAGGTGCTTTAGGTACCTAGGCCACCATTCTTCTGGATTCACAGCGAGCACTCATGAACCTCCCGGGTAGCCCTCGAGAAAACGACAAGGCATGAACCATCTGAGCGTCTTTGGCTCTCTTTCTTTTTATTTCCAAAGTGATGCTGCATACCCTTCATCAATCCACAGCCCGCTATCATGGCTTGAGACTGTCAGCGCCGCCCTCAAACTCACTGCAGTCGTACTCTTCAGGGTACTTCTCCAAATGCGCCTTGAGTTGGGCCATCTGCTGCTTCAGATCCGGCGTTAGCTCCTCATAGACGTCCTCAAACATCGAACGCATGGGCGGCTTCTTCATAGCTTCGGCCTCCCGGAACCCCTTGAGCACCTCGCTCCTCGTCTCGTCGCGGCACGTCTTCTCCTTGCCCTCGTCCCATATGCTCCTGGCCTCCATCCACTTGCGCAACCGCGTGATGGGGTTGTCGCGCCGCTTCCAGTCCTCGACCTCGACGCGCGCGCGGTACGCAAAAGAGTCGTCGGACGTGCTGTGGTGACTGACACGATACGTCATGGCCTCGATGAGAACGGGCCGCCCGCCGTCGCGCAGTGCCATGGCGCGTGCCCGCTTGGTCGCCTCGCGCACCGCCCAAAAGTCGTTGCCGTCCACCCGCACCGTGTCGATGCCGTACCCGAGGCCGCGGCTCGCGATGCCGTCGCCCCGGTACTGGTCCAGCGTCGGCGTCGAGATGGCGTACCCGTTGTTGCGGCAGATGAAGAGTGCCGGACACGACCGCGTCGCCGCCATGTTGAGCGCCGCGTGGAAGTCGCCCTCGCTGGCGGCGCCCTCGCCAAAGTACGCCGCCACGACGCGCGGCGGGATGCTGGGGTCGTGCAGGCGCTGCATCTTGAGCGCGTACGCCGCCCCCGAGGCCTGCGGGAGCTGCGTCGCCAACGGCGAGGAGAT